GCGCCAAGACAATGCATCCGCTCACACGGCCCTATTTGTCAAGCAGTTTCTGACCAGCAAAAACATTACTGTTATGGGCATCCTCTTTATTCTTATAATTTAGCCCCATGCGATTTTTTTTTATTTCCTACAGTTAAACCTTGCTTAAAGGAAGATCATTTTACCTCAGTTGAAGAGCTTTAGGCAAAAACGGAAGGGCCTTCCAAAAACATTGTTCCAGAACTGTTACCAGCAATGGCAGCACCTAATGCAGAAGTGTGTGAATGCTGAAGACAACTACTTTGAAGGTGATTATGTCACGGAGAACTGATTCTGAACGTACAATGATTTATTGGAACAGTCTAGTTTTTTTGTATGTCATGCCTCGTTACCTATAATTATGGTACATAAATTTTACCATTGGTAATATGAATTTATATTACTGCTAATTTTTTCTTGTCTCTTAAAAGTAGATTGTATTTTGTGGTTGATCTACTTTCATATGATTCACTTTTTATTGTGTAAACTAATGATCTCTAGCACAGTGCTCCACAACCTTTTTATCGCTGTGGACCGGTCAACGTTTGATAATTTTACCGCGGCCCGCTGAGGGTGGGTCATGTTGATTGTTTATATTTTAGATTGTTTTAATTTAACAATTTTAATTTAGTTACATTTAAATATGCCTTCAGAATAAAATATAGTTACGCCAAAAATAAATGTGATTTAACGTGGAATATAAAGTGATTTCCGTGGAAAGTGGCGCAAATCCGAGAGAAATGCACCACTTTAAATAAAATGGCAATAGTTTAATGTTCTTTAGGCGGCCCGGCATCATTTGATCCGCGTACCGGGGGTTGCGGATCACTGATCTGGCACTTTCAAATTCTGATTTTTCGGAAGAGCATTGTGTATAGATGCCACTTATTATAGACTTTAAATGCAATTGAAATTATTCTGCTTGTAATTTAGATTTTTATCTTTGAAACATTTTTGAAGTTCATTGTAAAATTTTAATGATGTTTAAAATAGATATACAAATTTGTACGTTTGCAGTGAAGGTCAAAGTGAATACGTAATTTTGCTTTTACTCGAGGTAAAAAATATATATCGTTAAATCCGGCGTATAAAGCGCACTTTGAACGCTTAAAATAAGATCAAAATTTACGGGTGCGTGTTATAAACTGGAAGTAAAAAAATGATAGCTTTAAAATACTATAGAAAATATTAAGCACACACACACACACACACAAGTAAAATTAAACTTCTCTACATTTATCGGAACACTGTGTAATTAAAAGAAATGACATATACCTAATGAACTTAAAGAGTTGTAGTTTTAGAAATATACTATTTTTACACAAATGCCTGGGATAATTCCTTGAAAAAATTACTTCAAAACATAAGAGCATTGTTCATGTACGTTTCAGGTTGCTTAGTAAAAAAGAAGGTGCGCGTTATACAGCTAATATACCTAAAAATTTTTTAAAAAATGGAGCTTGGAAGTAAAGTGCGCGTTATATGCCGGATTTTACGGTAAATAGTGTTTTGTTTTACTGTGTGCGGTCATAATTTTTTGGCTGAGTTTTGATCACTGGAATACTTCGAATTATGCACCGCGACACGCCAACCCGGATTTTCTTGAATTTCAAATCTCGTCACTTCGTGTTTTGGTTGAACGCTACACAACTTGATAACTCACTCCCTGCTTCCTGTTTACCAAATGTACATGTTAGGACTATCGAGTGGAATCATCGCTCTGCCATAAAAATTTGTTTTAATTTACCATAATATAATTAAGAACTGTTGGATTCCCACAATCAGGAGCTGACAATTGATGAGCTGTTAGCAATGCATGAGCAAGAGATAGACATTGAAGAGCTTAAGTCTTTAGACCCAATTCAATAAGAAAATCGAATGACGATTGTGAATTTGTCAGAAGGCCTCAGTTCAATTGAAGCAAGTAATATAATTTTTTAAGTAAATTCCTACTCAGGTCAACCAAGAAACATTTTATTTTAGTTACTTGTTATTAAATAGTGACAATTAATATAAATATGTATATACATATGACAGAATCACAGTATTAAGTGACAAAATAGAAAACGATTTTCATTGCAATTTTTATGTTTCCTTTCTATATAGGGTGTTTGACTATTTTTTTTGTATGTTACTATTTTTATTCATTCATTAAATTTAATTATTCTAATACAGTAGTATAATTAACAAGAAATATAACATTTTCAGAAATTGGGCCATCCCTGATGGGATTCGAACCCCGATCTCTGGATTGAAAGTCCAACGGGCTATCCATTGCACTACAGGGACACAGCAAACAGTTTTCCTTCCTATATATGCTGTTGGAAAATTATTTTTGTTTGTTACTGTTTATTCATTTTTTAATTTAATTAATGAATTAATATTTGATAAAATGTATTAACATCAATTTTCATCCACTACAAGTTTAAAAAAACGTATTTGAACTTAGATGGATGAATAGAAAGTATTTTATTAACGATTGAAAATTTCAACAATATATATATATGTATATATACACTCATGGACAAAAAAATTAGCGCACCAAGAAATAATTGCGGGATCGTAACGAAACTTAGCATGAAGGTACATGTCGGGAAACATGAAAGTGATTAGATCAGCGTGATTGCGCATTACGTATACCCGGTACAGGACGTTTAACATCGTTCTCCGTGGAGTTAAAACAGGTAACCAAAACTTGTTTGAGGTGCTAAATCGTTTACAAAACAAGAGCTGAGGTAGACATGCCATTACGCCGTTTTCGAAGACAATATGAGCAGCTGTCGCATTTTGAGAGAGGGAGAATCATCGGCATGATGGAAACTGGATTGGTCAGCTAGGCGAGTAGCTCGTCAATTAGGCCGCTCTGATTGTGTTCTGTGGAGGTGTTAGGACCAGTGGATCCGAGAGATGTCATTTACACGAAGACCAGGCTGAGGACGCCCTCGACAGACCAGTCGTCAAGAAGACCGCCATATCGTAAGAAATGCACGCGTACAACCAACTGCTTCATCGGCCGCCATCCAGGCACAGGTAGCACCTTCACTAGGGTCCCTTGTGTCTTCTCGAACCATACAAAGGCGCCAGGCTGAAAGACATTTGGGATCGCTGCGCCCATTACGTGTGCTGCCCTTGACGCCCACTCATCGATGCCTCCGTTTGGACTGGTGCCGCGCACGAGGAAACTGGACTGCAGCGGAATGGAACCAGGTCGTCTTTAGCGACGAATCCAGATCCAGATTCAATTGCAGCAGTGATGACAATCGTGTTTGTGTGGGGAGACCCCGTGGTGAAAGCTTCGATCCTGCCTTTGTTTACAGCGACGCACCACTCCCACAGCTGGTGTGATGGTATGAGGTGCCATTGCCTACAATACACGTTCACCCCTAATATTGATCCGTGGCACCATGATAGTCCAGTGGTATGTCCATGACATCCTGCAACCACATGTGTTGCCACTCATGCAACGGCTCCCAGGAGCCATTTTTCAACAAGACAATGCTCGGCCTCACAGGGCAAGAGTGTCACAAGACTGTCTCCACGCTGTTACTACCCTTCCTTGGCCTGCTCGATCCCCTGATTTGTCTCCAATCGAGCATATATGGGATCGTTTGGGACGGCGAGTTGGGCATCCCACAAGTTTGAACGAACTCTAGGCACTGTTATAGTAAATATGGAACGAAATCCCAAGATATCATACAGAACTTGTATGCCTCAATGCCCGATCGTATCGCATCGTGCATTCGCGCTAGAGGAGATTCAACAGGGTATTAAATCCTCCGTTCTTTTGCCTTTTTCTCTGAAATAAATTATCCTTTTTCTTTGATTTTCTGATCATTTACTTATATCGAAGTAGTCATTACGTATATAACATTTTGTTTCATTTTGACGACTTCTTCTTGGTACGCTAATTATTTTGTCCATGAGTGTATATATATATATATATATATAGGGAGTGAGTGAACTAATATTAGGAATTGAAAAATAGGGTACAAATTTTAGAAAATATACTCCAACAAAGAGCGTATTTTTTCAATAAAACAAGGAATAAAAAAATTATTAGCATACTACGAAAAAATTTTGTGGGAGAAAAAAGACTTTGAGCCGGCAGAAATTTTATGAAATCCTTTCAAATCAAAATAACTTCTATTTGTGATTTTTTATTTGCGTTATCGAAGATTTCATTACATCCTTTTTTTCTGAATGAACATTTTCTCACCTCTTCGGCCCAATAAAAATAATTTATATGTATTGATATGCGAAATTATACCCCAACTTACGCAAATTCGACTTACGCGGTTTTATCACTCAGTCCCACCTATCGCGTAAGTTGGGGTATTACAGAGAGTATTTTCTGTTTAAATATAATGAGGTTAATTCATAGTCACATGATAGTGAAAGCCACGTGATTCTAGCCAATCAATTCAAAAACTCGTGTGACGTCATAGTCACACGATAAAAACTATCTTGTGTTTCCAACTAATCAGTTCACGCGCTCCGGTGTTCCAGAAACATTCTCTTAAAAAGTACATATGTATACAAAACGCATTTTATTTAAAAGTATAAACATAAAATATGATTTTTTTTAATTTAAAAAAATCTTTTTGAAGAAATTTTTTTCCCCCAACATTTAAACAACTTTACCCAAACATGAAATTTGAAATTTTATCTGAGTTTTACAAATAGAACAACAAGTACAATTAGTTTAATGTTTGTTTTGAATTCAATAGAAAACGCGTGTTTGATTTTATCATGTGACTTCATGAATCAAGCCCATTAAATTAAGTATATTCTCTAAGTTATATATAAAAATGATCATTTGCAATTTAAAATATTGCATCATAGTTTAGGCTTACAAACTACGAATTAAATTACTGTTATTTTATTATTATATAGATTATTATATTTATTATATATACAGTAGAACGTCGTTTATCCGAACGTTAGTTATCCGAAACGTCAAATATCCGGACCAGTTTTTTTTCAACTACATGTACTGTATATGAATACTTTTTCGAACAGTGTAATGCACAGCAGTTGTTTCGCATGAGGTCAAAAGTGGCGGGAAACCCAAGGTCAGGAATATTCGGGGAATTTTAATTGCGTGTGATTTGGTAAACATCTGCGTGGAATATTAGGTCAGTTCATTTCCAAGTGAGGGGGTGTATACGTGCTCTTTTGTTGAGTTGTGAACTGCTATGGCTTCGAATTCAAAACGGAAGCACAACGTCTTGAACATAGAGACAAAACTTGAAATATTGAACCGTCTCGCGAAGGGAGAAGGTGGAGCGTCTCTAGCAGTTTTATAATGTTGGGAAGTCAACAATTTCTGACATAAAAAAAGGCCGAGAAACCATTTTAAATTCTGCTTTAAAACTTAACTCAGATGATGGCTCGAAGAAAAGGAAAACTGCTGACGCGTTTTCTGCGTTAGAGACAGCTATGGAGTGGTACGAACAACAATCAGAGTGCTGTCCTACTCAACTACTGCTGTTCAAGAGAATCAGAGACCTTGCAGTGAAAAAACGAAGGTCTACAATGGTACAGCGAAAAATAGGTGATTATTTTCCACAATAAAGATACAATTGCGACATTTTGCACCTACTTTGCTTTTTCTTCAAGAACGTTTCCCGCATGTGATAATTTTCAATATTTGTAGTGTCCGGTTTCATATACTGCATGGATCGCATTCGGTTTTCGGTTATCCGAACAATCGCGTATCCGAACGGTGTCCGGTCCCAATTGATTCGGATAAACGACGTTCTACTGTAAGTTCAGTGCAATAAAATCGTTAATGAAGCAAAATAAATCCATCTTTTTCCAAGCTTGAAAATGAGGGCCCTCGTTCTTCACTCTGAACACGAATAAGAATACCTTCTTTTGGAGGGGTCAACAAGTAAAGGATTCGCAAAATGATTTTAAAGAATAAATTTTCTGTTTTTGAAGAGTATATTTTTTATTTCTTTTTAATTTTTCAGTTCATTTTATCTGATTCTCAACTGCAATTGATTGTTTACAGTAACTTTTCCATTTTGTATTAAATATTTAAAACCGAGTTGCGTCTCATTTGGAATTATTTTAGATTTACATACTTCTCGGATTATTTTTATTTAGTATTTATATCTCGATGCATCTCAATATGGTCTTAAGCAGAAATTTTAACTCTACATCTGTGTGTCGGATCTATTTTGATACTTTTTACATTATCTTTACTATTGCTAGTGTTGTTTGGTGTTGCCGAATTCGATCGACAAATAAATTCAGAGGGATCATAGTAGATATCATTGGGACAACAAATCACCTTATAACAAGGTCAAGGTTGGTCTAAATGACCTTGCGGGCCACTTTGGAAAAACATAATCCCGCGGGCCGCTACAAATATATATATATATCTTTATATTAGACTTGGACCCACTATATACATTCATTGCAGTGAAAATTTAAAACGGAATGCATTATTATTATTGTCTTCTTTATTTTTCATGTATACAAACGTAGATAAATTAAAAATAATAATAATACAATGATCAAAAATGTGACTTGCTCTAGCAATAAACAGTGCGTTAAAGTTACAAGAATCAAGCGTGATACTGCGGGGTCGCTGCAATGAAATAATGCTCACTTCTAAGTATATATAAAAACAGAAGTAATGTAATAAAATACAAAACTTAGATACATTGTTACAAAACATTATGTTAAAAACAACAATATTGCACAAAATAATCGTGTTTTGTAAAGTTGTAATTAATCTCGCGGGCCGTACGCTGTTCCCGGGCCACGGATATGCCACCTTTAGTGTAAGTATACATTGTTGTAGGAACTGTTTTCTACTTGTTGATTGTCATCTTGTTCAACGCTTATTGCTTTATTATCTTTTACTTTTTTAGACATCCTTGTTTTCTGTTGTGTCACTGTCATCTAGGGATGGCGATCTGAGATCGATTAATCGAAGAATCGATTTCTCGAGCCAAAAAATCGATTTTTTAAATTGATATGTAGCACTGAATCGTTTCAGTGAATCGATATTTCATCCTAGAGAATCGACATTCGATTTTTTTCTGTTTTGTGTGTGGTAAAAACCATAAAATATATTATTTACAATCAGTTGAATATACTATCTTTAAAACCCGTAATGTTACGGTGTTGGTGGTTAAAGGGTTAATTACTCAAAAACTCGCGAGATGCCTGTGTGCTTAGTTTCTTTCGCCTCTCTTAAATAAATAAATGAAAAAAATTACGTTTGTAATCTTTGACTTTTTGTATTTGTTGATATTGCGTCATTTGTTGATGCT